AGAGTCGGGCATGCGTTCATCTGACCATATTCTGCATACGAGCTGAGGCATGCACCTCATCACCTCCTCGCCGCCGTACTGGAATAGCTCGGCTGGCAGGCTATCAGCTCTAGCAGCTTTGTTGTTTTTCAGCCGCGTAATCGCTATTCGTATCTCGTCATAGTCAGGCGGAGGAACATCGACTCCGTCATCATCGACTGGGGCTCGGGTTTTTCTTCTCCACAACTTTCCAAGCTGCTACCATTCAGTAGGGTAGAGAAATGTTCCCTCCATAATTTAAGTACGTTCTGAACATCGGTAACTAGGTCGCCATTGTTGTTCTTACAGGAGTACGCCCTGGTCTTGAAACCTTCCGTAATTCGCCTAACTCTCTGGTAAAATTTTCGGGCATACTTCCTGTCGGCCAGAATTTCAAGCTCTTCGCACTCACGTATCTCGGCCCCTCTCTCTTCTTCTCTTCTTATTGCGGCAAATACGTCTCGCTTCCCTCTTCAGATCTCTATAGCGGTCCCACAAGGCGCGCGTTGGCACACAGATCGCAGAGTGACCCTGTAGGCCCCTCTACTTCTTCGGCGGCGGTACTTAATGAGCGGAAAATGTGGTTCCACTGCTGTTGTTGTTGTAGGGGCTACAACAACCCCGCCCATATCGGTTAGTTCTCAATCGTCAAGCTCTACTAACGGTAGCCCCAGGAAGCTTCTAGCTTCGAGGGGGTCTGTCCATAGGGACAGGGGCGTTAGAATGGTGGGATTTCGAGGGCATACGAAGAGATGCTGTGAGTCATGGGGCGACTCTCCGCATGCCGGGAATTCGTTGAGAACATCTTCGTTTAATCTGCTCAGGTATGAGTTCAACTGCCCGGCAAGCGGAGAGTCGCCCCATGACTCACAGCATCCCTTCGTATGCCCTCTAAATCCTACTATTGCTCGCATATGGGATCTTTTTATGCTTGAACCTAGTACTGCATACTAGCATGTTTCGGGCCCCGGCGAAGTCGATCAGCCTCAGTCCGTTGTCGGACGTTTCGTCATGGCGGCTGAATATTCTGACGGTGGTTTCAAAGATCCAACACCGAATTTGCGCTCCTTTATATGGCAGCTGTAGTATACGTCGCAAGGCCCCAGGCATTGCTTGCCAACGCATTCCTTGGATGGCGGTGATGTCAGCTTTTGTTCTTACGAGGACATCAACCAGCCGGGTAGAGGCTCCTTTAAACATTTGCCGTGGTCGTCATCATAAGGGGGGTCTCATCCGAGGCACTGCTTCGCTCCTTCACTGTAACAGGTGGATTTTGTCGATGGTTGAGGTGAGCTCTGCCGATCCAGAGTCCACGAACCCCCATCAAATAAAGACACTATTCTCGTGTATTCACTTGGAACACACACACATCGCGCTATGACTAGAGTGCCAGCAACCTTATGTCCAAAGAGAGGGACAAGGAGAGAGACTGGTGGCGTTCGTTGTTGTCGAGCGGTCGGGTCGGAGCGGATGACGGTGAGTACTGAAGAGTCAAGTGGTGAGTGGCTGGTACCACGGCGGGTAACTCTCCGCAATGGCGAAGCTACGGTTGAGCAACGCTGAGAGCGCTAGTAGCACGGCGGGTGACGCTCAGCAACTGTTGAGCAACGGTGACCAGTGGCGGCAGAACGGCGGGTGATTCTCAGCAATGGCGAAAAATCTGGTGAGCAGCAAAACGGCGAAGCGACTCTGAGCGGTGTCGAATGGCTCTCAATAGCTGCGGAGTAGCAGCGGCGGGGAATGGCTCCCAAATGCAGCGGAGTAGCAGCACCACAGCATATGATTCTCGGTGAATAGCTTTCATTAGCTGCGGAGTAGCAGTAGCGGCGCAGCAGATGATTGTCGGCGTCGGCGAATGGCTTTCAACAGCTTCCGATGGCCCTCGGTAGCGGCGGATGCTCTCAACAGTGACGTACAGCTCGGCAAGCGATTCCCGGCGGCAGTTGAGCGGCCTAGCAAGACTCTCTCAGGTATCGCTGTTTCCCTAGTCGCACACTACGTGAGTAGGGGCTGGAATGGGGGCGGCGGTGACCGCGGCTCGGCCAGCCGGGCACGATTTACCATGTCCGAAAACACACCACTATACGCCAACCGATTGGTCGAGCCGTGCTTGGATTGACCAGCCGGAGACGATTTAGCGCGTCTGAAAGTCTCACCACTAGACGCCAACCGACTGGTCAAGCTATGTTTGTATTAACTAGCCAGAGACGATTCAGCGTATCGAATGACAAACCACTAGACGTCAACCTAGTTCAGCCAATGGCTTACCTAGCAAGACTGACTCGCCTGCGTACTTGTTCAGCCTTTTATACTCGTTGCTGCGTGGTCGGTTTGAGAATTCGTCGTGCGCGCTTGTCCCGATTATAGTTGGCGAACGATGTGGCTGGTGTGCTGCTATCAGTGTTTTGCATGATGCTGTATGCGTGTACCGAAGAGTACATATATACGCTGTTGCATATGTACGGTGGAGTGTACATGTGTTGTGTTGTAAGTTATTGATGTTGTATGAATGTATCGGAGAGTATATATATGCGTTGATATGTATGTATGGTGGTGTATATATGTACGGTGGAGTACGTGGCGGGTCCAAACCCAGGGCACAACCCATTGCTGGGACGGGGGTGGTTTCGCAACCAAATACACGTTTATATAGCGAGCCGCTTGCTCCAAGACAGACACGCGATTGTAGCCGCACCTACACGTGAGCAGACGCTGCAGGCTTCAGTGAGCCCTTAAACGGAATAAGTCGGAGTGGCCCCACCGAAGCTCCCTCTCTTTCTGCCGTGATCCAAGGCTCCAATCGGATTGGTTACCGCATCTCGCACAAGGGTAGCCGACGTTGCCCAGAGTGCGCGAACGAGGACGCAAGAGTCGGGATTGAGATAGCCGAAATTTTTCTACTCCACCTTTTATTATTTGTGGATTTTCCTCCTCTAATAAAAATAGTTCGAATCGAAGCATTTTTTGTGTCAATATTTTATCGAATCACGTATTAAAGCACTGATTAATTCATTCAGACTGAATGAATGTAACTTATCACTGGTATGATAGGTAAAATTATTTTTAGCAAAATAATGCTAAAGTTAGCAAAATGAAAGATGATAAGTGATAAATAAAAATTTTTGGTGCAACGAAATGCTAATAAATTTTGATAATTTGCATAACTTATCAACAGGGAACGTATTTTATGGAAATTGCCTTTTTTCTGCTAAAGAGATAGAGTATATTCGATTAAGAATGTCCACCATTTAGCTTTCCCTGATTCCATATATACACATTTGATGTTGCCTTTTTGAAGATATTTGCCTTTTTTTGCCTTTTCTTTCTTTAAAAAAGTGATTATAGCGATGAAAAGCCCTTATTCCTGATATTTAATATGAAAGTTTCAAACGTTCCATATTTAAATTGGGCGCCACTTGTATCAACTCACGCTGAGCGCACGTGTGGTACATTCAAGGCTTTCCTTCGCGAAAATCTAATGAAAATGCTGCCAGAACACTTTAAAATGCATCTTGTGGTTCAATGTTACTACAAGTATAGAGATTAAAGATTTGTGAGTTAAAAACCCGAAAGGAGAAAACAGTCAAAGATTCAAAGTAAAAATTGTTCATATAATGAAACTAGTTCATAGTTTTTCTCTTTTTACATGTAATATAAAACTTTTTAAAATAAATGAATTTTTAGATTTTTTTTCAGTTTTTGTCTTTTTTTAGTGCCTTCTTTTGAATTTTTTGCGATTTCTAGTGCCATTTCCTGCCTATTTCGCTATTTTATTTTGACTTTTCCAGCCTATTTTGTTATTTTATTTTGCCTTTTTATAGGTTTTTAGGTCTTGATTTTTTTGTTTTGAGTGATATTTTACTTATCAATACTCATTTGAGTGACTTTTCCTTATCATAACACAAAACACAAAACTTTGCGCAAGTTCGATAATTTGCTAAAATGCTAACGATAATTAGTTGGTGCAATAGGGCCCTGCTGTTACAAACGTTGAGAACATGAATTTGACTTCGAATGGCTCTGTTGTTGCGCCGCCTCTGCACGCTGCTTTGCCCTCTACTAAGGCTGCATCACCGATAACTTTTGATGGGTTGGTTTCATTTCATTTATTATGAAACAAAATCAGTACAATAAGATCCCAAAGATCTTTTAAGATAAGAATAAGAGCTGAGAATAAAAAGTCTTGGATCACCGCAGTTCTATTTTTAGTTATAAGTCAAACGCTTTAATATGAATCCAAGATTAATCGTTAACTCAAAGCTACCCTAATATTTCTATGAAATTGTAAAGCTTACTTGAATTGTACTACGCCCATGGAGGCTGGAAAGACTTACAACTGTATTGGAACTCGAACTCCGAATCTATGTACACATTAAATGGAAAATAATAAGAGAACCAGTTAAAATTAGAGCAGCTTCGCAAACAGACGTGTCTTTTCGTTAGTTTTGTCTAGATTATTTTTCACTTGTTTGTCGTGCCCACGATTTAGTAATCTTGCAATTTACGCAAGTCGGTAAGAAAACCCTTTTATCGAACATTTTGGCGCCCAACGTGGGGCTCGATAAAATAAATAGATAAAATTAAATTCGCATTAAATTCGTCGATTCGCAATTCCCCGGATTCATCTTGTCGCGCAATACGTACGTTCCGTCTTGCTGCTAACGTCGCTGCTATAGTCGATTCTCTTGTTGCTGCCGACGTCATCTTTCACCTTGCGTAGTCGTCAAGGGCACTTTTTGCCAACAGCGGCGTAATTGTCTACACCTACACTTCGAGTCATCTTTAACTACTTCGTATGGTCGAAAGCATCAGTCAAGCCATCGCTCTTCGTTAAGTTGGCATAACTACATATCTCAATAAAATTTAGCACAACGCTTAGCAAAGACTTCCACCGTTTGAACTTAATTTGCTTACATATTTGCACCCTCACACCCAGCTGTCATCTTCGTTTGTTGACAGCTGTTACGTTGAACACTGTCAAAATGAACTTGACGGAATTACAGCAGCATCGTGCAAATACAAAGCGAAATATCAGCCGCATTAAAAGTGTAATCGATGCAAATGGTCGTAGCGATGGTCGAACATTATCTTCTGCGGAACTAAAGTGTCGATTTGGAATAGCCGAATCATATTTTAAGCAGATTCTGTCATATCAAACACAAATTGAAGCGCTGGACCCTGATGACAATTCTCGTGGCGATCTGGAAGAATTGTATATAGGAATCAAGCTTGAAATTGAATCACAATTGGGTGAAGAAGTAAACACTTCAACTTTACAGTCAACACTGTCAGTTTCACAGCCGCATCCGCACAAATTGCCAGCTCTTAAACTGCCCTCATTCAGTGGCAAATATTCAGAATACAACAACTTCATTACATCCTTCAAGCAAATAATAGATCGGGAAATGGTTTTATCTAACGTAGAAAAATTTAATCATTTGTTGAACTATTTGCAGGGCCCAGCACTCGACACCGTCAAGGCGTTTCAAGTTAGCAACGAGAATTATCCTAAGGCGCTCGAACGACTGAAGTCGCGCTATGACAACCCCACTTTGATATTCATGGAAAACATCACGTCACTCTTTGAGCTTCCGGCAGCAGCTAAACAAAGTAGCCAGTTAAGACATCTTGTAGACACAGCATCGGCGCTGTACAGCGCACTTTCTTCATTGGGTTCAGACCGCGACATAGCCAACGCAATGCTGATACATCTTGTGATTGGAAAGGCAGATGAAGACACTCAACGAAAATGGAAGGAGTCGCTCGATTTTACGAGCTTGCCGACATGGAAAGATTGTGCCAAACTACTCGAAAGGCGCTGCCAATATTTTGAGTCCATAGATTCCAGCGGCAAACAAGATACAGCACACTCTTCGTCACAGAAGTTTGAGCAATCCAAATCATCGCGAAAGGCAAATCAACAGCGTCGCCACGCCTTTTCTATCACAAGTTCCCAGCGTAATTGTGTTCTATGTTCCAGCAACGAACACGTCATCAAAGATTGCCCTCGTGATAAATCGCTAGATGTTGGCTCGCGCTTCGAAAATGTAAAGAAACTTGGATTGTGCAACAACTGCCTTGCTCCAGGGCATTTCGTTTCAAAATGCCCGTCGACTTTCAAATGCAAATCATGTTCAGCTCGCCATCATTCGTCGCTATGTAGAAAATCTGAAGTGAGTTCAACGACATCGCGCGACGCTAGTGCGATTGTACACACTCATTTGGGTAATTCGTCCTTCGAGCAAGTAATTCTTGCAACCGCAATCGTATTAGTGCGAGATGCTGCAGGCAATTACCAACTTGGTAGAGCATTACTCGATTCGTGCTCACAAGTAAATTTTATAACTGACAGTTTTTCGCAACGTCTACGCCTGCAAAGGAAGAAGCAACGCGTGGATTTTAAGCATCGGCAATTCACCAACAACCATAAGGCATAAGGCTATAGCTACCATCAAATCACGTCATTCAGATTTTGAGTTGCCACTTGAGTTTTGCGTAACGCCACACATTTCACATCAACCAGTGCCTGACGTAGACGTTTCATCCTGGAACTTGCAAGCGAATATAAATCTGGCCGACGAACATTTTCACAAATCGCAGGGAGTTGATTTGCTATTAGGAACTGATTGCTTCTTCAACGTCCTATCCATCGGGCAAATTAAGTTAAAGGAATCACTGCCAATCTTGCAGAAGACTTTGCTGGGGTGGATCGTTGCTGGCAAATACAATTCACCAACAGTTATCGCAGCATCCATTTCACCCTCACTCACGTCGTCGCTAGCTACTTCATGCAGCGTATCGGATACTTCGCTTACCAATGGTCCAGCATCTATCAACGTAGCATCGTGTTTGTTATCTTGTGAGGAAATAATACAGCAGCAATTGGAGCGATTGTGGCAAATCGACAATACGACTATCAATGCATCGACACTCACCGATGAACAGGCTGCTTGTGAAGCATTTTTTGTGAAGACCGTGGATCGTGATGCTACGGGTCGAGTCATAGTGCAATTGCCCTTTAAGAACGATGTCGCTGTTCTGGGTACATCGTATGGTACTGCGCTTAGACGATTCATTTCGCTCGAACGTCGCCTTCAATCGCAACCGGAAGTTAAGTCACAATATGTAGATTTTATGCAAGAATATGAGGCATTGGGCCACATGACGAAACTTGAAAACGTTGACTTGTCAAGCCCACATTTCTACATCCCTCACCACTGCGTACTTCGGCCCACCAGTACCACAACAAAGCTACGTGTTGTCTTCGACGCGTCGTGTCGCACATCTACCCAAAAATCGCTAAACGCAATACTTCAAGTGGGAGCTACCATCCAAAATGATCTTTTCATTTTGCTACTTCGCTTTCGTCTACATCGCTATGCACTGACTGCTGATGTAGTAAAAATGTACAGGCAAGTGCTAGTGCAGCCAGCTCATCGCCGCTTCCAGTTAATTTTGTGGAGGTCTTCACCGATGGAGGAACTGCGCTCTTTCCAACTAAACACCGTTACCTATGGCACGTCTGCTGCACCATTTTTGGCAGTGCGTACGCTCAAGTACTTAGCCGACCAGTACGGAACTCAGTACCCTCTTGGTGCACAAATTATCAACTCTTCTTTCTACGTCGATGATTTGCTCAGTGGTGCGGACTCATTTCGTGAACTCTCGCAAATCAAAAGGGAGGTAACCGAAATTCTTAGCAAGGGTGGCTTTGACTTAGCGAAGTGGCACTCGAATTACCAAAGCCTTACGAACAATGAGGAGGAAAAGTACATGAGTTTCGACAATTCAAACACAACTAGCACACTAGGACTAACATGGAACCAAGCACAAGACATGTTCCAGTTTTCGTTTAAGCCCAAGAAGACGTTTAATGGTAAGGTAACAAAAAGAACAATTTTATCTCTCGCTTCGTCGTTATTCGACCCGCTCGGTCTTTTGTCTCCACTCACAATCAAGGCCAAAATAATGTTGCAAGAGTTGTGGCTATTAAAATTGAATTGGGATGAATCGGTGCCACAAAACCTACATACGGCATGGCACAATCTCATCACCGATTTTGTTTCGTTGCCATCGATTAGCGTGCCAAGATATTGCGTCACACAACCCAGGGCTTCAGTACAAATACATGGATTTTGCGATTCGTCCAACCGCGCATATGGTTGTTGCTTGTATCTTCGTTCTACGGATCATGCCAATCGCACAACTGTGAGATTGTTGACAGCCAAGTCGCGGGTCGCACCGATAAAAAAAGCGATCGTTGCCGCAGTTGGAACTGTGCGGTGCTCACCTACTCGCAAAGGTATTTCAACAAATACAATCTTCCATGAGCAAGTACTACGGACATACATTTTTTTGGTGCGATTCGTCAATTGTGCTGCATTGGTTACGTTCGCATTCAGCTACACTCTCGACGTTCGTTGGCAACAGGGCAGCGGAAATTCAAGAACTCACCAAAGGCTGTACTTGGAGATACGTACCTACACAAGATAACCCTGCAGATGCACAGTCCAGGAACTTCACGACTCAATCTGGTACACGGGGCCATCATTTTTGTTGTTGCCAGAGGACCAGTGGCCATGCAAACCAGTGCATAACCAGTTGGATATGGCAGAAGTTGAAAGGGAAAAACACAAATCTGCATTCTGCATTGTCGCCCATTCAAACATGCTTGATGTCATCGAAAAATTTAGTTCGCACATTTATTCACTTCGAGTGGTATCTTGGATCTTTCGATTTTATTACAAAATCAACACCAAACTCAACAGACCCTTCGAGTCGGCCTCGTTAACTCCACAGGAGCTTCAGCATGCTCTCTGGTGCATCGTGTGTTTAATCCAACGCCATTATTTTAGCGCCGAGATTGATCGTGTCAAGACGAATCGCGAGCCTCGAGGACCTTTGAAGTATTTGAACCCATTTATCTCTTCTACTGAAGGGTTCATGCTACTGAAGGTTGGCGGACGCTTGAAAAATGCTGACCTCGTAGAAGAACAAAAACATCCTGTGTTTCTGCCTTCGAAGAGTCAGTTCGTCGAAAATTATGTTCGTCATTTACATCGCACAATCTACCACGCTGGTCCGAAAACGCTTATTGCTCTTATCCGTCGCCGATTTTGGATAATCAATGCAAGAAATCTCGCTCGCCGCATTGTCAATGGTTGCATCCACTGTGTACGCTACCGTCCACGGCTTCTTGAGCAAATGATGGGTAATTTGCCTGTAGAGCGACTAACTCCGAGCAGACCTTTTTCACGAGTTGCAGTTGATTATTGCGGCCCAATTAATACATACCTTCGGATCGGAGGAAAGGTACCTTACAAGACCTATGTCGCCATTTTTATATGCTTATCAAGCAAAGCCGTACACATCGAAGCTGTTTCGGATCTTTCGACCGAAGCATTCGTCGCTGCTCTAAAGCGTTTCATCGGTCGCAGGGGCTTGCCCAGCGACATCTTTTGCGACAAAGCTACAAATTTTGTGGGAGCGAAGTCCAAATTAGCTGCCCTTAAAGACTTCTTATTTGATTCAAAAACGCAAACCGAAATAGTAAGTTTTTGTTCACAAGAATTTGTTAACTTTCGTTTTATACCCCCCAGAGCACCCCACTTCGGCGGCCTATGGGAGGCTGCGGTGAAGGCAGCCAAAGGTCACTTAGAACGAACACTTTCTGGTGCTCGCTTAACGTTTGAGGAGCTGCCAACGGCATTAATTGAAATCGAGGCCATTTTGAATTCTCGGCCCATTGCCCCACTATCCACAGATCCAAGTGACTGCGAAGCGTTGACTCCGGGGCACCTGCTGATTGGGTGTTCGCTAAAGGCACTACCAGAGCACTCAGAATCGTACAAGCAGATCGATCACCAAAACCATTGGCATCGAATCACAGCCGTGAAGCAACACTTTTGGCAGCGCTGGTCACATGACTATTTAAATGAATTGCAGTGTCGCACCAAGTGGACCAAGGGCAAGACAAATATCGCAAGTGGATCGCTCGTTATAATACACGAAGACCACGTTCCGCCACAAAAATGGGTTATGGGCAGGATTTCGAATTGCATTCCAGGAATGGATGGGCTAATTCGCGTCGTTGACATAAAAACAACAAAAGGAACTATTCGACGCCCTATTCACAAAATCGCACTGTTGCCTGCTTGAAAGTGATACTTTCAAGGAGGGCGGGATGTTGCATCACCGCAGTTCTATTTTTAGTTATAAGTCAAACGCTTTAATATGAATCCAAGATTAATCGTTAACTCAAAGCTACCCTAATATTTCTATGAAATTGTAAAGCTTACTTGAATTGTACTACGCCCATGGAGGCTGGAAAGACTTGCAACTGTATTGGAACTCGAACTCCGAATCTATGTACACATTAAATGGAAAATAAAAAGAGAACCAGTTAAAATTAGAGCAGCTTCGCAAACAGACGTGTCTTTTCGTTAGTTTTGTCTAGATTATTTTTCACTCGTTTGTCGTGCCCACGATTTAGTAATCTTGCAATTTACGCAAGTCGGTAAGAAAACCCTTTTATCGAACAAAAAGTACGTAGTACATTTGCGCGTAATTCTGGCTCAACTTTACCGCCTACCCATGCTGGCTTGCCAGATGTTCCGAATGTGACAAATGCTTATATACCAAATAGGAATCAAGTCCCTGAGCGAAGATCAGTTGGGAGAAGCAAACGAAAAAGTCCTAAAAAGACTCTAGTTATTGATGCGAGCAACAATGGTAAAAACTTGTACGACTTAAGTTCACATTTGGACTACGACGCACTGTGGTTTCGATGATCAATCTAGCTGGGCAAAACTATTAAGCCACTACTATTAACTTGAAGGTTGGAAGTGACGCTATCGTTTGTCTTTCATAACTGTAAAAATGGGCATAGTTACTCAAATATTCCGCCCCCTTCAAGAAGTTTTCATCGATTTTAAATTCGTTAGAAAAGGTCTGGTATACAGGTTATCGTAGGTTGTCCCCACAAATAAGCTTATTTTACCAAATTTTATAATTTTTAGTGTTTAGCAGAGAGCTGCATGGATACACTCAAATTACATTTTAAGTCACTCGCTTTCTTTTCACATCTGCACACACTCGCACTCATTTATTTCCAAACATAACGTGCAATAGCATTGAAAAAACATTGTCGGTTGAGTGAGTAACTCTCACTATCAAGTGCTCGATTCAAATAACAAGTGCTTGATTTGAAAAACAAGTGCATGGCATAACTGCTGTAATGAAAGTATCGAATAAAAAACATTTGTAAAGACAATTTTTGTTAATTTTATTGGTTTCCTAACTGCATATTATAATGCAAAAATATCAACTGATTAAGGGCTTCATCATTTGACAAAAGGCGGCATCTTTTGTCAGAAATAACATTTCCAGCAGAAGAAAAAGCTTTTTCTGACGATGCGCTAGTAACTAGCGGCTAGTTGAAGGAGTGGCTATTACTCTACGACTGAGTTTATGCAGCATTTTTCACTCGCTTGACTTGATTTGGAAAGAGTATATCAATGCCATATTTGAAATCAAATGAGTACACTGCAGCTAAACATTGATTTCAAAACTAACTATGAATCTCACTGTTTGCACGGTGTTTCTCACTAACCTTATAGAGTTCACAGCAATGAGTTCATACTGTTTAGATGGAAGTGAGTAAACTCATGCTGTTGTCTGGTGTTTAGTTTTTAGAAAAACGCCAACAACAAATTATTTAGGAAATCGTTTTTTTTTTATTAAAGTCTTAAATTTATTAAAGCGATATTTAAGTAACATCGAAATTTTATTCATCACAGTCAGAATCGTCAGTATTATTTGCAATAAAAGTATGGTTTTGAAGAAGGCAAAGCATGCCAGAGATAATTTGTTAGCATTGTTTTTGTCTTTTTACACGAATACTACTTTTAACTAGGGATGGTAGTCATTATAAGTTAAAAAATATTAATCAACATTTAATTATTATTATCCGATTTTTATTTTTTAATCACAAATAATAATTATTTATTGATTTTTACTTTTTTTACTCGAATGTAATTATTATTATACTAGCAAATACCTGGCTTGCTTCACGACGCCTGATAAGATCTTTTGCGTTGGCCAATACAAAAATAGTGTAGAGATGCAAAAAAGGTTTGTAATATAAAAATTATTAGTTTAGGTTGAAAGGCTGAAGAGCAGAACCTTCCTTTCTAATAGGCCAAGAATAATAGCGCTGAGGTACCACATGGTATATGTACTAATCTACTTCGATGCTATGAGCTCTTATTTCCAACTGTGGGATATTTGCAAGTATTGCAAGGTTTGCCAAGAGTGCGTAATCTTCTTTTAAATTTCTGCTGTTCCACAGAAGGAAAGAGTTTTCCCGTTCAAGCAAGGTCATTGATGTTCCTATCGTGTTCTTTTTAATTCATCACACCTCTTCTGGATATACCGATGACCCGTTGATGTGTCTAAAATTTATAAGTACTTATGGATGCTGTACCTTAAACATCTATCGTAGATCTGTCTTCACACTAAATTTTAAACTTATGTGACTTACGGTTCCGAGTTTGTCGCTGATAAAAATTTCACACTTTTAGGGTGGGCCACGCCCCTTTTACAAAAATAAGTCTATTTTACAATAAGCATCTACCATAGATTGTATGTCAACGCACCAAATTTCAAAGTCATGTGTCTTACGGTTTCGAAGTTATAGCTGGTTAAAAGTGTCACGCCTATGATAGGTGCCGCGCCCCCTTGTCCGATCTCATTTTTTTATACCCTATGTTACGTCCGAGGTCACTCTCTATATACCAGTTAAAGCCCCATGAAAATCCACTCAGTAGTTCCGGAGATTAGTGAGTTCAAACAGACAAACAATCTACAGTTTTATTATAGCAGTATATACTAGCAAATGCCTGGCTTGCTTCGCGACGCCTTATAAGAACTTTTACGTTGACCAATACAAAAATGGGGTTGCTATGGAAAAACGGTTTGTAATGTAAAATTTATTAGTTTAGGTTGAAAGGACTCAAGAGCAGAACCTTGCTTACTCATAGGCCAAGAATAATAGCGCTGAGATAGCATTTGGGTTAAGTACTAATATTCTTCGATGTTATGAGCTCTTATTTCCACCTGTGAGATATCTGTACGTATTGGAAGGTTTGCCAAGAGTGCGTAATCTTCTATAATCCTCCTGTTCCCAGGATGAAAGTTTACCCGCTCAAACGGGGTCATTGATATTCCTACCGTATTCTTCTTAATCATTGATATTCCTACCGTATTCTTTTTATCATAAAGTTAATACCCGTTACTCCTGGTCATACGATAAAGACGGGGTCTCTAAATATCTCGACTCCGGCGCCATCTGTCGGCACCAGTTTTTGCGATGCAGAGCAGAATTTCAAATTCATGTGACGTATGGGAGGTACATCGCCCTTTGTCAGGTTTCATTTTTTTATACCCTAGGTTATGTCCGAGGTCACTCTCTATATACCAGTTAAAGCCCCATGAAAATCCATTCAGTAGTTCCGGAGATTAGTGAGTTCAAACAGACAAACAATCTACAGTTTTATTATTATTATTATTATTATTATTATTATTATTATTATTATTATTATTATTATTATTATTATTATTATTATTGGTTTATAAAACATATTCTGACAAACATACTCTGTACGTTCAGAATATATGAGTCTGAAAGGAGTCCTAGGTGGGTAAGAAATATGAGCTTCAAAAACAAAAAATGTGTGACTCTTATATGAATATTTTAGGAGTTATAAATTATCGAAGTTTGGAGCCAACACTTTGTGGATATATAAAAACAATAAAGATTCGAAATTTATATCTAAACTTGTTTATACAGAAATTGAGAATATTTAGAAAACAAAAAATATACAAAATTTAGCTGCACCTGCTGCTATTAAATGTACTAGTATCGCCCAGTTGTCGAAATTCGACATCTTTTTTCATACACGTTTGAATTTTACCTATCACCAATGCTAAACCCTTTATGCGAATTACTATTTTGAAGTCCACCAGCATTATTTATAGCGAATTTACAGGAAAACTTAAAATCGAATTATGAACGTTAATATCGGATTGATTAATGCTAATTTTACCAAGTCTCCTCCTCAGTAGCTTTTGAAAATAGACCGCGAAAGGAACCTCGATTTTCATTTATAAAAAATATGCATATGTATTTGTATGTATAGATGAGATGTTCATCACTGACTAGTATGTCAAACAATTCATACTGTAAATAAGCCCGAAAGTACGGCATTGACAACATATGTTGCTGTGTCAAATTTCAGGACGTTAGCATAGGCAGTTACAGAGATGGCCGATAAGAGAATTTCATTTTGAATGGGCGGTGCCACGCCCCTCTATCCAAAATCTACCGCTCTTCGCCGAAAGAACGGTATTGACAACATATCGATGGCTGAGTGGAAGATCGACCTATCTCGGCAGCCAGTTCGAAAACG